GGTGCTTCTACTAAATACTGAGCAAAGGGTCTGAATACTTAGGACCATGTGATATTTCAGTTTTTCTTTTTTAATAAATCTGCAAACATGTCAACAATTCTGTGTTTTTCTGTCAATATGGGGTGCTGTGTACATTAATGAGGAAAAAAAATTAACAAATGATTTTAGCAAATGGCTGCAATATAACAAAGAGTGAAAAATTTAAGGGGGTCTGAATACTTTCCGTACCCACTGTATATATATATATATACATACAGTATATATAATTTAAAAAAATTCTTCTGGTCCTTGGCAGGTCTTATTAGATCTTTTTATATATTTTTTCCTATATTTTATTATATCTTTTTATATTTCTATTATATATATATATATATGACCCTGAACCACAAAACCAGTCATAAGTCGCATGGGTCTATGTGTAGCAATAGCCAACAATACATTGTATGGGTCAAAATTATAGATTTTTCTTTTATGCCAAAAATCATTAGGATTTTAAGTAAAGATCATGTTCCAAGAAGATATTTTGTAAAGTTCCTACCATAAATTTATCAAAACTTAATTTTTGATTAGTAATATGTGTTGCTAAGGACTTCATTTGGACAACTTAAAAAATTTTCTCAATATTTAGATTTTTCTGCACCCTCAGATTCCAGATTATCCTATCCTAACAAACCATATAACCATACATCAGTCAATGGTTAAATCAATATATATATATATATAAATTGCAGTCGTACTGTTATTATTTTAGTATCACATTAAAATGTGTTTCGGAAAATAAATCAAATACAATCACAATCAAAATTGCTCATTGTGCTTGACAGCAATGTTTTATTATAGGAATCAAATACCCAAACTGAGCAATATGAACAGGAAATATGTGATAGTACTACAACACATGACTGGTGTTATACAGTTTGGCCTGAGATGCAAAAGCCACTTCGGTCTTACAAAATGTAACATACTAAAGCAGATTCAAGCACTACAGAAAACAAACAACATGTCAAGTCAAACAAAGCGGAATATTGTAAAGACAAAGCATTTCCACTACAAGTGTACAAAACAGCAACAGTAAAATGATTCCAGCTTCAGAATGTACAGCAACCATGTAAATAGTACTTTACTGTTGTGTTTGATAAAGGAAAATACAATACCACAAAACTATATGAAAAAAAAGAACTAAAATGAAGTGTGATACCCAGTGATAGAAATGAGGTGCTTTCAGCATGCTGATATAAACAATGCTGTAGCTTATTGCACACGGGGAACCACACCACATAAAATACAAATGTCATCAATTAATAAAATAAATTAGTAACCTGAACTACATAAGCAGTTCTGTTAAGTCACAAAAATGGCATTTAAACATGTTTTAACTATATGGATAGATGGATACCTGACTGTTTAGTCAAATCTGACTTTTGGATTGCAAGTTTTATAGTGGCAATAAACAGATGTGTGCAACAGTACGTTATGCTGCTGATGTGCTTTATAACTACTACATGTGCACTGATGAAATCCATCAACCTAATGCAAAATGCTGTTGAAACAGGTCTGCACAAGTATACACAAGCTTTTCAAAATGGTCCACAAAATTCAGATTTACTGTTAACGGATGTACTCGTGAACGCATCTCACGCCTAAAACCACAAGCCTATTGATAATTATGCATATTTTGACTGCAGTTTTCTGTAGGTTTTTACTGTGGTAGATTTAAACCACAATAATCAAAAGCAATCACTTTGTCATAGCACACAGTAATAAAAAACAAAAAATATTCAAAATGCTAAAAAAAAAGGTCTTTTGGGGGGATAAAACAAATAAAAACAACTATCAATAAAGCTTGGCACTAATCTAAGAGATTCTACATCTCTTATCTAATTTAAAGGGAAATTCTATAAGTTACATGGGGAAACAGGATAAATTGAGGTGTTGTTACTCACAAGAGAGCCTAAAACGGCAAGTGACAGTTGAGTCACTTTGTGCTGTAATGTGTATTTAAAAGGCGAGGAAGCTTAGGAGAGTTTAAGACTTGTGGAGTTCAGAAGCCGGAAGGAGTGAGAATGTTCATGTCTCGATGTCTCAGTCTGTGACAGGATGTTTTCTTTCCGTCCTCGCCGCTCATCTCGATCTTGGGAGATTTGAAATTGGCGGGATCTTCAACCGTGAGATTTATTTGGGTTTTTATGGCATCCATCGTATTGGACTTCTGAACCCCAAAGTATGAGTGCAGCGTGAATCCCCCTGTAGTCATGGAAACAAAGAATTAGAAAATAACACCTTGAATTAAACACACTGAACTAAAACATACTCCAATATTCTTAGTTTTATTGACATCTTCGAAAAAGCAGTTGAAATATGCTATATATTATAAAAAAATGAGAGTATACTGAATGTATGCTGATAAAGTTGAACATGCCAACTGTAACTAAAAAAATGGGCAATGATATAGTATAATGGAATAAACTAAATAAATAAATAAATCTCATTGCAGAACAAATATTGTAAAGGATATACAAACAAATCTGAGGTTAAAATTAGGCTTTTTTTATAAGCTAAAATAAATATATCCATATAACAGATTCTTGCCAGGTGTGTTGGTTTCTGATCCTGGGTCAGTGGGGGATTTCTGCACGATGGGCCGCACTCCGAAGAGGCTCCATCGCTCTCCTCCCCGTTCACCTCCTTCGTTACCTCCCATCAAAACACCTGTGATGAAACTGCTGAACTTAAATGGAGTATTGGAGTGAGGACTCTGGCTAAACCAGTGCCTGTCAGGGAAAAAAAGAGAGAGACATATTACTTCATAATAATATTTTACATTGTAGTTTGTTCTACTGTACGTAAAAATCCAATAATGTATTTGAACACTGTCTAAATCTACAAAACGTGGCTGTGAGTGTTTCCACCTGTGCCTGATGTTTAGGGGATTGGGGGAGGGACAAAGTGATGGACGGTGCTGATGTTGAAAGCTTGTCCTCTCTGAAGTCCTCCTTTGGCATCTTCAACTCCTAGAAAAAGGAAAGAAAACAGCGGTTTAATGTTACCAAGGGTGCGTCAGACAAATGCAGGTCCCTCCCATGGGAAATATTTATCATGGTCTATTATCATAGTACTATATATAACAGCAATACAGCAAAACAACATGACACGCATGTCTATTCATCTAGCGCTATTTCAACACATAACAAAGATCTTAGATCTCGCAAAAACGATCTGAAGTGAAACGCTTTTAAGGGAAAGGAAGACCTCAAATGAAAACAAATATATATAATAATAAATGCTGTAATGCTGGCGCTTCGGGGTCACGATACACCAGTCTGACGACATTGCTCAACTGTGCCCAACAGCTCACGTTAATGTGCAACATTAAAAAGCTGATAGTAATATAATAATGTCTTATAGTGACGTTAATCCAGCTCACTTTGACATTAAACAGCGATATACTGGATTTAAGTGGTTCTTTATAGGTTAAATGGCTGCGATCCAAACACTAGAAGCTTCCGAGCACTGATAAACAGGCCGTTGTTTACAAGAGAGAGCCTACCTTTTCCGCTCTATAGCTCGTTTATTATCCGATCCAGCGGGGTCTTCCATTTGGTCCATGTTTATTAAATTAAATATTCGTTGGTGGTATGCTAGTGAAGTCGCGGAAACACCGAAAAATCTTTGTTAAATTCGGTTTTTGTAAGCGAGCGCAAGCATATCCAATCGAGAACAAGAACAACACGTACTGCCAAATTGACAGACAGGAAGTTCAGCGTTTCAAAATAAAAGTCACCCGCAGGCGTATGAAGGCGTTGACTTCCGACACACCTCCAGCACAGCCCAATGAAACCGCAAAAATATCGTTTTAATGTATGTTTTGAGGCGTCAACAACCCTTGTTATGTTTAGATACAGAGAAGACAAATAAAGTCAAAAGTGAAAAAGTTGTGGCAGTAGGTCGATGACATAAGCAAAAACTATTTTGTGTGGGATCATTAGACATTTCATTACACCAAATACACAAAATAATGCTCTTTTTAGCAACATCATATGACCCTTTTAAAACCTAATATAAGCAGTAACTTAGTCCATTCGAAAGTGCAACTCTGCATAAAGGCAGAAAAATAGACCAAATTTACACCAATTTTCTTATTTAAAATCATCATCAGAAGAAGAAATAATATAAATAATATCAATTTAATATAAATAATATTAATTGAATAGATGGATACAGATTAAATTAAAGATTAATTAAATGAATTTGAAGATTAAAGATAAAATGAAAATTTATTTCTGTCATCACGTGGAAGGCACAGTATTACAGCATTTTGCATAGGACAACATTTTTATTTTTTAATAAAGAAACTAAAATTAAGCCAAATAAAAAATGACAGTGACTTTTTCTGACTTCCTATGCAGTGTGCATTATCAAGCCACCTTTACATCCACAATACATCCACACTTCCATGATAAACATTATTATCAATAAAATAACATTCATGTAAACCCAAATTTAAGGCATCATTGCATTTTAAAATTTAACAGTATGAATAAATACGTTTAACTACAACATGAGAAATCTGACAGAAAACCAGTACATTGGTCATAGTAGGTCATAAAACATTATGAAAGGAGAAATTATAATGAATTGTCCAGAGATTTTTTCCCCCCAAATAACTGACAACCAAAGGAAAAAAAAACGTAAGGTACAGATTTAGATGTTTATAGGTCCTTTAAACCTAAATACATTCCTTGGTTAATGCCCGTATTAAACAGAACATTTAGTCAAGCGTTATCTAAAAAGGTAGTTAGAGAATATTTGTTTCTCTCATTTAAGATTTCAAAAACAAAGCACCATATGTGATTTTAACCCTTTCTTGTCCACCATCATCGCAAACACCCTTCAAGACAGACTATTTTTTTAACTTCTTATACAGTACATACTATACATATTATATGACTACACAGAATTTAACCCAGTGCTATACAATTCATATGAGTATTTGAATTATTATTGCTATGAAAACAATATTTTATCTTTTTTTATATATCCCTTTCCAGAGCTATTTCCTGAGTACAGATTATCCATAGTACTGAACTAAATTGGACTGACAGTGCAAGTTAGTTCAAGACTAGACAAATCTGCTCCAATTTTCCAGTTCATTCTATGTATATAATGCACTTACTTACAATGTTTTACTACTGCGTGCAAAAATTTACATTTCATATTCTCGGTGCAAGATATTCTTTCAGATGACCCATGCTCTTATTGGATTATAATGCCATACTTCCTAGTTTTTTGTTTTTCTTTTCTCTGAGGTCTCTGTAATAAATAGACATAAAAAAGCAAATGCAACATATGGCACAGGAGTAGTGGAACGGCACCCCCTGAAAAAAGTTGGAAGGTATCCTTCATTCTGTGTTAAAGTCAATAAGGCGGGCATCACTATGAGTGAGACAGTTTGATTGGTCACTCTTAAGGACATCTTAAAGGTGCAGAGTTGATCAATACAGCGCTCCAATAGGCTTCACTGCAACTAAGCTCTTTCCAGAAACTTCCCTTTGGAACCTAAAACACAATCATATTAAGAATTACCAACTAATGATTGATAATTATAATTATTATTATTCCTAACACCATGCTAGTGTTCTTTGCTTATGACTTCTCCCTTCCATTTACCTGACATTTTGAAAAGGCCCAGAAGGGGGCATCAGATTGGATTTCCCTTTCTGCAACATGGCTGGTAACACTGGCACGCCATTCTTAGGCAGCATCTGGATGAAAGACGACAAATATTTTATAATGCACAATCATAGTCAGTGAACAGTTCATTTATTATGTGACGGACGTCATGTTTTGAGTCACATGATGTTCTGGTAAACACATGGCATGTTAAGAATCCAAGATGGCAGGCCTACATGGATACATTGCACAATGGAAAGGTGTGGAAAGTATATCTCCAGATGCTTATAGGTGGATGGTTGTTTAGCAGAAGATGTGTTGGGAAAATTATATCTGCTGACAAAAGGATTGTTCATCGACTGTCTTGGAATATATGGACATTGTTTGGAAGTTTGCTGGATGGTAACAGAGAAAACTACTGATGGGACCAGCAAGGAAGAGCAGATGAAACGGGTATTTGCTTGCTGATATTCTTTTGGTGGGTTTTTCATGAGCAAGTACGATGTTTGTTTGAACTGTTACAAGAAATCTCTTCAAACTGCAAAATGAACTGATTAGCGTAGTGCTAGTTTGAATAAACTTGAGGGTTCTTGAAGGCTTGATTGCATATGGACTGATTTATAAACTGCTATTGTGAACAGTGAACCAATTAGGGCTGCACGATAAATATCATTCGATATTTAACATGCATCTTGTCAGTAAAGTCGGTTCATTAATCGGCGGTAAATCTCCATCCCCTGCGGGCTTTCACATGGAGCAGCATTAACTACACAGAGCCGTTGTTCACTGACAAGCTGCGCAAAACCACGATCATATTTTGCGCATGTTTTGCGCAGCTTGTCGGTGAACAACGGCTCTGTGTAGTTAATGCTGCTCCATGTGAAAGCCCGCAAGTGATGGAGATTTACCGACATTTCCGTCACACGCTTGAGGTATTCGGCCAAACACAACGCACTGGATAGCTGGCCAATCAGAGCACACCTCGCTTTTCAGACCGATGAAATTTGTAAAAATCGACGCGTTTCAGAAATGTGGGAAATAATGTGTTTTTTGAACCTTAAACCGCATAAACACATTTCATTACACCAAATACACAAAATAATGTTCTTTTAGCAACATCATATGACCCCTTTAAGGAATATTGCACTGCATGACTGATCTAGAGGTGCATTTGCTCAGGAATATACTCACCTCAGCAGGCTGGGAGGGTTTGGTTATGGGACGGGGTGGAGGGGGTCTGTTGGGTGGTAGCGGTCTTGTTTTGGGGGGTGCTGATGGAGATGGCTGGGGTGACTCTGAATGCTGTAAACTCTGCTTGTGTGCAGTGTAGGCTGGGATTTGAGGTGGTTTCACAGTGGGTTGAACGACAGAATGTCTGGATCTGGGTGGACCTGTAGGACTCGCTCGAGGACTGGCCTGTAGAATGCAAATATAATATGAATAATCGATTTTATCATAACAATGAATACATTTCACAAGGACTCTTGGGATGGTGGAATGTGGGTCATTTTCAGTGACAATGGCTGCACCAATTCAAATGCATTTTCCAAACTATCATTTTGTAAGTAATCAAATCGGAGCTATTTGGTCAGACAGTGTAGTCGATATTATTTCTAGTATGAGTTGCTATAGTAATGAATGAATGCCAAGAGACATAAGAGTTGCTGTCATTGCATTGAAAGATGGACGGAAGATTTTTTTTCTCTGCTAATGTCAGTATGAATTTTATATTATGGGTTGATATTCACTCCCTGAAATTGATTTTCAATGGTATCTTTGCTCACACATTGTAAATATCTGAGGCATTTCTCTCCTAAGCTCTGGTTAGTTTCTATTGCGTCCAAAATGACAGAATAAACCACTTGAAATCCAACTTGCCTGTTCAGACTGAAGTGCATTCCCAAAAATCTGATTTTAATAAGATTTAAAAAACACATATGGATCAGTGTTTATTAATAATTTTGAATTGGCTTTTAATATTTAATATCTTCAGTTTTCATTTCTATTTTATTTAACATTTTAGTAATTTTGTTTTGTGCTTTTTTAAATATTTCTATTTATTTTTGTTAAACTTTAACTTATTAATTTCCGTTAGTTGCCAATGTAACGTAACATTTCCAGTTTTCATTGTATTTTAAGTATAGTTTTTTCATATACAATTTTTTCAGCTTTATTTCAATTAACGAAAATTATTTTTAATAGCTTTAGTTTTAGTTAATAACAGCACTGATATGGATGGTTTGTTGCTGTTTGATCAACAGACAACTAAATGGAATTGAGTTGGATACAGAACATTTTTGCTTGCTGTCGGAACAAAGCCAATGATCCACGAAACTGAGCTTTTGGATGCATGTACTGTGAACCCACGCTGACAACAAAACAACTTCACACCTGTTCATCAGCATGAGATTTCTTTGGCAGGAACACTGGGTTGGCGTGACCCGTGGTGTGACTTTTAGTGTCAGGGGTGTCTGGAACACTGACAAGAAGATAAATAACAAATTTTCTAATGCAAGAAGTGCCACATACATGAAGATCACTGCATGAATGTGTTTGCATTTCACAGTTAAGATTTTAGATTACTTGATGCATATTTGGGTAGCAGGAAGGGTGGGGCTTTTGGTGGAAAGGCGCTTCTGTCTGCAGCGGCACCAATAGACACCAAGGACAGCCAATCCCAGAAGGAAAAACAGAATCAGGAGAGCCAGAACAAGATAAAGGTTGCCTGCATAAGATAAGACAAGATCAAAATTAATCAACAAAAGAGCAAATTCAAGATAACATTCAATGAAATATTCATTTTTATTCACTGCCTGTTGACATACTGTGTGTGATCATAGGCCCACTGTCCAAACTTCCTCCTGAACCCAACGCTTCACAAAACGGTGGTGCCCAACCCGAGTTACAATGACAGTTGTGGTTATTATTACAAAGCTGCAGGGAAACACACAAAAACTTTTTTTTGAAAAACAATTTAAAGGAATAGATCACTCAAAAATTAAACCTAAAAAGAACAGACCATTAGATTAGACTTATTACGTTAGCTTTGATGTAGCTACAGCAGAGGGAAAGATTGTCAGTAATGAATGATATTTGATATTAAATATAATTTATTTCTCAAAAAAAAAACCTTTGTATTGCTTCAGTAGACTTTGAATATATAGCACGCAAAATATGGAGTACAGTACTTTCTTTGCTTGCTTTATGTATTCTTTGTTCTTTTATGACCTTGGCAGACACTGTGGGGGAAAAAAGTCTTCAAAAATATTCCTTTAAAAGATCATACAGTTTGGGAACAACATGAGTAAATTATTTTTTTTATCTTTCCCACAATACAGATATTCATTTAGTACTGTAAAACACACTGCCTAATAAAGTAACACAATAGTGACCTGCATTCAGTGGAACTGATTACACTACTGAAGTCTGCTGTAAGTTTAGCACATCCAAATATACTGAAATTTCCCCACACTTCCGTCATATCCTCAACTGAACTCATCACTTGAAACAGTGATATATATATATATATATATATATATATATAGACACAACCCACATTGGAATCAGACATATTTATAAATATTAACCTGTGTGATTAATAGCGAGAATAGTGAGGGATTTCTTTCACTTATCGTTATAGATAAGTGAGTATTTACCGTTAGAGGAAATGATGTAAACAGAACATGCTTCAGTAGCTATAAGATGACCATGTATGTACAATAAAGCTCAGCCAGCTCTACATATAAATAAGCAATATGAACTTACGCCGTGGCCATGACATTTGGCACTGCATTCATCGGCTTGCAGGAAGGACGCATTGCGGCATTCCCCTTCAAAACAGATCTGTTCAGATAGAAAATGAGGCAAAACGTTAATTAAATAAATTCTCAATATACTTAAATTGATAAATCTATTCAGTCCCTACCGCGTTCTCCCCACATTTGGTCCCAGTCTGAACCAGGCCTGGGTCTAAGGTGTCACTCTGCTCCTCATTACCCTGACCGCGCTGGTACACATGAGTCCCTCTGCACAGGATCTTCTGTTGACCATTCCGGATGTTGGTGTCTATGGCGACGGCATTGGATTCTAAAGGCTTGCTGGCAGTGCTCAGACACTGAATCTTCCCACATTTAGCATTCCTAAACAGAAGACCAACAGAATGTCTTTGATCGGCCCAAATGATGATGACATAAACCAATGGTCAAAAGTTTGGAATAATTAAGATTTATTCATGCTTTTCAAAGAAATCTCTGATGCTCACTAAGGCTACATTTATTGAATCAAGAATGCATTAAAAGCAGTACTATTGTGAAATATTATTTAAAATGTTAAATAACTTTTATATTTGAATAAGGGGCCGACCGGTTATCGGCGCCGATATTAAGCATTTCTATGGTTATCGGTACTGGTCATTTTCAAAACCGATTTGCCAGTTACATCATTTAAAAGCATTTAAAAAAGGTTTGTCAGAGACCTTGTTATTTTTAAAATTGTAAAACATGTATATCGGTTATTAGTCTACTTGATCTGTAATAATCGGGCCTGAAAAACTAATATCAGTCGACTAATTTAAACATTTTAAAATGCAATTAATTCCTGTGATGGCAAAGCTGAATTTTCAGCAGTCTCCAATGTCACATGATCTTCAAGAAATCATTTGCTGGTTTGGTGCTCAAATATTAATAATCTTAATATTTTTTCAGGATCCTTTGATAAATAGAACGTTTAAAATAATATTATTAGCATTTAATGTGTCCATTTAATTTCTGTTTTTAATGCATAACAATTTATTTTTCTTTCTTTTAAAAAATCTTTCGTACCCCAAACTTTTGAATGGTACAATATCACAGTTACCACAAGAATATTAAGCAGCAAAAACGTATTTTCAACATTGATAATAAGAAATGTTTCTTGGGCACCAAATATTAGTATAATTTCTGAAGGATCATGTAACAATAAAGACTGGACTAAAGATGCTGAAAATTCAGCTTTTGCAGCAATACCGGAATAAATTACATTTTAAAATTACAATCAGAAACAGTATTTTGAAATGATATTAGATAATATTACTGTTTTTACTGAATTTTTGATCAAATAAATGCAGCGTTGTTGAGCATAAGAGAATTATTTCAAGAATATAAAAAAATCCTAATTATTCCAAACATTTGATCAGTAGTCTAACTATAAGTAAGTGCATCTCACCTTTCAGTGCATTTCCTGTATGTACCCATGAAACTGCCACAGTTTCCATAGGGATCACCTGCTTTATTTACCTCAGTAAAGCAAAGATCAGGAGCAGGACAGGCATCTATGACACAGAGACAGAAAATTAGCCTTACAGCAGAAACAGAACAGAACAAACACATAATCTCATGTCTTAAGTTATTGGTTATGTGAATGTTATAATCTGAGGTATATCTCAGCTGGACTCAAATGCTTTCTCTGATGGCTACAGAGAGCAGCAGATGGCCTCACATTCAGATACTAAGATCACAGCCAAACACAGTATCTGCCATACAGTAATCTACAGTACACTGACACATGGATTTCCTTTGGAAAAAGGAAAAAATATATATAATGTAAATTTATTCCTGTGATGCAAAGCTAATTTTTCACCATCATTACTCTTTCAGAATTCATTCTAATATGCTGATTTACTGCTATATTTGTGGAGACAGTGACTCACTGAATATTGGGCGATTGGTTTTATGGTGTTACTTTTAAACTGTGGGACTTTTATCAGATTTTAGCACCACACAGACCTTTGCCCCAGAGAGAGAGGCACTGCTGCGCCAGCGTCAGGCAAATTCCTGTGTAACAGTAGGCACTGCCACCCGCACAACTGCTGCCATCCACCAGGTAAAAGTTAGCAGGACAGGACTCTGATTTCCCATCACAGTACTCAGGCAGGTCACAGGAGCCTGAAGGTGGACGGCACATCGCTCCTGGACTCTTCAGCTGGTCAAGAGTGTGAGAAAACAAACAGATCAAACTGTACTCATTTACAATACAATCTGCTTTTCTTAAAATAATGCCAGAGAACTACATTTTCAACATTTGAGACCTGTCTAAATTCTAAACAATAATATTATAACATTTTAAGGGCAAATCTTGAGTATAAAAGCTTTGTTGTACTAGTTGACAATGAATTAATAATTAAGGTTCAAAATATGACTTAAACTACTCTCTTAAAAACCCTCTAACTAACCTTTAATGCAACACCACATGCTGTTTGTTTATTTATTTATTCTTACCATTTAAAGTCATCAAAACATTTTTAAAAATCCTTATTTGTTAGTTTGTTTGCTTATTTACTTTAATTAAACTCATCACAAAATCACAAAACACAAAAAAAAACAGTTATTTATTTATTCCTTCATTCGCACCATTTAAAGTAACACTTACAAATCAGATTCAAAAATTCACACTAAAATCCTTTTTTGTTTGCTTAATTATTTACTATAAATCAAGAAGGCATATTTGTGGTTCCACAGGTAAATTAAAGCCCAACCACTCTTCAAGTATTCTCAGAATTTTACGTCAGAATAGCTGAACTAAAGAACATTCCCAAATCATATGTAAATACGTGCCCTCTTCTTCCTTACATTTCCAACATAGATTATATCCAGCTATTCCCATCCTGTAACGTCTAGATGGTGTATAATAGTATCCATGTACTATTTTGTAATGAATTAATTTCCCCTTAGCTTCCCTTATGTTCTTGGAGAGGAAGCACTATCTGTTTCTCACACAACTTTATGAAAACGCTTCAGGAGATTTGGATTATAGAGCATTATGGACTACTTTTATGATACTTTTATGTCCTTTTTGCAGCTTTCTTTCTGCAACAGGTAACCTAAACTGATTTATCTCCAAGAAGGCATATTTGTGGTTCCACAGGTAAATTAAAGCCCAACCACTCTTAAAGTATTCTCAGAATTTTACGTCAGAATAGCTGAACTAAAGAACATTACCAAATCATATGTAAATACGTGCCCTCTTCTTCCTTACATTTCCAACATAGATTATATCCAGCTATTCCCATCCTGTAACGTCTAGATGGTGTAAAATAGTATCTATGTACTATTTTGTAATGAATTAATTTCCCCTTAGCTTCCCTTATGTTCTTGGAGAGGAAGCACTATCTGTTTCTCACACAACTTTATGAAACGCTTCAGGAGATTTGGATTATAGAGCATTATGGACTACTTTTATGATACTTTTATGTCCTTTTTGCAGCTTTCTTTCTGCAACAGGTAACCTCGCCAAAAAAACATGTATTTTACCCCCCGGAACGCCATTGGGCTAGTTTTGGGTAGCCATTGGGCAGGTTTTGTTGTGAAAACCTGGCAACCTTGCAGTGCGGTCACTTTTACCATTGTTCAGCAAATTATTGTTATTGCACAATTAATGTGCAATATCCAGTCATTTCTATAGGAATCAAAGTGATTCATATTCTTGAGTTGTGAGGGCAAAAGATTTCCACACACACATTTCATATCAGGTTCAAGTTGTTTCTTTTTGAATTTGCCGGGTTGACCAACAGAAAGCTTCATGTATGGCTACACTTGAACTTATAACTTATATAACTTATAATGAACTTACAATCACTTATAATGTTACCAAGATTTTTACATCAAAAACCATCATAATTTAGAATAAGCTATTTTCTGTTCTGCTTTGACCCCCCTCATCAGAACGCTCTGTTTGAACAGGCATGGCAGATTGTAGACTCGGAAGTAAACGCCCACTGCTTTGATTGGCTAACAGTTGTGTATGTTTGACAACCTATATCCTTCATAGATGGACTCTGCTGTGTTTTTGATTAAAAACACAAATACTCAGTACATATTCAACGATCTGTAATAACAGACAAAGCAATAGTGACCACGTAATAAAAACAGTTACTCACACTTGGATACTGTCGGATCCAAGCATTGTCTTTTAGTTTCAATATTTCTGAAAATCCCACGTTGAATTGTGCCTTGTTTGCGAACGAATCCACGGTAAAATTAAGTGAACGAAGGACAAAGTTCTTACTGATGCAGTCTCGAACTTCATTAAGAATAAAGTTCATAAAATAAAGTTTATCCTTTGGGTTCTGCATAGACCTGCGTTTGCATCTCTCATAAACACTACAGGTGCGAATTGGTGGGCGGGGTTAAACAGGCAGTGATGTAGAAGCAGGCATTGATCATCTTCTGCGGAGTCTGTGTTTAGCCACACTATTACTTCATAGAGTTACACATTCCACAAGCTTTCGTTTTGGCAGACTGGTTTCAATACAAGCTGTTTTTAGACTAACGAGAAAGTTTTGAGTTCTAAAACTTAATTGGATGTTTTTAAAGTACAATGACCTCTTATGTCAAAAGATCAAGGGAATTATTTTTTTTCAGTTTATGACCCCTTTAAAACTATAATCAAGCTCATTATCAGTGATCATTATTATCGGATCATATGTTAATGAGGTGGGAGGAGCTACAGCGGGACTGACGTTACTAGCTGAGTGTTGTCATTGGGCAGCTGTGGCAGCTGTTTCCTCCTCCAGGACAGAAACGCACCCAGGGTGCTGTAGGGGTTGTTGGTCACAGTGATCTTGTCTTGATCATTCCAGATCTCCAACTGGATCAGAGCCACACGGATGTTCAGTGATTTGTAATACTAGGAACATCAAATCACATAATATATTAAGAGTCCAGAAGCAGGTAAATGATAAAAGTGTGTTTAATAGTAGGCAATCTCACCTTATCCACAAAGTTAGCTGCTTCAAGCAGCTTTGTTTTGGTCCTTTCAAGGTCCCGACCGTGCTTCACAAACTGAAAAAGAGACACTATTAGGATGCATCTTTGACCTCAGATGGCTTAAATTAATTTTGTGTCACGTAGGTCGTGTTTCTCAACTGGTGGGTCGCAACCCAGGTCTGGGTCGCTGCGCAGTATATCACTTCACTAAAGCACAGAAGCTACGAGCATGCAATGCGTGAAAAAAGTACAGTACAGATAAATCACATAACTGGTACTGTGTGTTAGCTAGTAACGATTTGCATGAAGGTTTGATATTCATTCTACTCAGGGGCAGTTTCCACGTTTCATTAACAGTTCATGTTAGTATTGTATATTCGCCATGGTAACTGTTGTTTCCATAACCCAAAAATACCATGTTATTTTCACTTTGTGTAATTTTGTATATGTTTAAATGACTGTGGTGGCGTGGCTCATACCAACTTAATTGTATTAACAAAGTGGGTCGCGGCTTGAGGACCATGGGAAAATGTGGGTCCCAAGGCCAAACCAGTTGAGAACCACTGACGTAGGTGTTGATGATGAGATGGTTCTATCATGAGTCATGACAGGAAACGAGTTTTATCTGCAGAGGTACAGTGGAGTGAGTCAACAAACAGACAAGATCTGAAGCTCCAGAGCTGTAAGGTAACTGTCATTGTTATTTACCAGACAGTTTTATCCAAAGCAACCAGCTGGTTATAATTGTGATGATTTATGTGATAAATATGACCTACAAAAAATGCTGATAAAAGAAGAACAAACTGTCTGAATCATTTTAACCTGAAGCAGTTTGAAACTGATTAAACATCTCAAACGTGGTGTTTCTATATATATTTTTTTAATCTGTTGAGCAGTCTTTTGGCCGTCTGTTTGAGTTAATCTACACTGTGAATAAGACAAGAGTCTCTCTCATCTCCCAAAGCTCCCCAAGAAACCCCTGCTTTTCAGCAGATACCTTTTTATAACATTTTATGTTATGCTGGTTGAAAGTCTCTTCACATCCCGATAGCAATCATTAAGTTAAGTTGTCTAAATGTATTTATATATTCTGTGGAAGGCGTAGGACCAAGAAATTTTCGTCCGATCAAAACGCTCGTTCCGAGCATTTTTATTGACTTTCCTACCTGCCTGTCAACATATGTATTTGCATACCTCTGTGCACCCGGTTCACGTAGACAGGATATGTCAACAGAACATTCACGTATGCTATGCAGACAGAGCAACTAGCGAGAAAGGCAGGCAAACATCAACAACCTGATCTTCCTTCCTGGTATTGTAATACTGTTACTAACTGTACTATAAAGTTTTCTCACCGGTTAATGACATATGATGTATTGTAGTAATGTTGTCTCTGGTCGTCTGGTCTGTGGGCGTATATACGTTCAGGAGACGTGGTTTTGGATGGCGATTTGCAGGGAGGGTGGGACGTTCGCTTTCAGTACTTTCAGGCTAAAGTTAGCATTTTCCAAGATGTCCTACTGCACCTTTAAGAGATTTTACCTCTGCATGGTCGGCCACCACCATCAGCTCCACGTATTTCATGCTGCTGCTGACATCCCTTCTTCCCTGCAGGAAGAGATAGAAAAGATAGGGATGAGCATAAGCTAATTTGATATATTACAGAAGAAGTGCTGAGTCACAACCTCAAAGTCTGAGTTTATGAATTTAAATACTGTGAGACATGATTAATTGAAACTGGGGGACATCCTGTGTCTTCGGACAGGGACAGACACTCTATTCATGTAAGCCAACGCAAGAACAATGTGTCCTTGGTTTAGTACCACTTTAGTCAGCTCTTCACATTTTTTAAATAACAAGTTTATTATCTGGTACTTTCCAAGAATAGTATACAAAATAGGGCCTGAACTCTTAAAAAAAAAAGTAACTTTTTTTTCTTCTTATTTTAACAAATCGTGAAAGGAGGTGCTTAATCAGGAAATGTCTACTTAATGTCATTTTTAGGAGGTTAAACAAAATTTTATATTCATTGGCTATAATATTTCTCAAAACTGTTGACAAAATACAAAAAAGTACAGTTCCTATAACCTAAACCTAGCAATAAACATGAAACAAATATAGGCAAAAAATATTAAAATAAAAAATACCTGGCCAAAATATATTTTAAATATAAACTAATGTAAACAGCTCAGCTTAGAGAAATATATTTGTAATCTATATATATATATACGTGTGTGTATATATATATATATATATATATATATATATACACAGTGCTGTGAAAAGGTTTTTGCCCCCTTCCTGTTTTTTTTTGTCTTTTTGCAAATTTGTCTCACTTAAAAGATTCAGATCATCAAACTAATTTTAATATTACACCAAGATAATGCAAGTAAATACAAAATGCAGTTTTTAAATGATGATTTCATTTATTAAGGGAAAAAGCTGTCCAAACCTACCTGGTCCTACATGAAAAATTAATTGCCCCCTCCAGTTAAATCATGAAAGAACTGTGATTAACCACATTATTTTAGAAAGCGGAGTTAAATTTCACTAGCCAAACCCAGGCCTGATTACTTCCAGACCTGTTGAATCAAGAAATCACTTAAATAGAACCTGTCTGACAAAGTGAAGCATGCTTAAAGAGCAACACATCATGCCGCGACCTAAAGAAATTCAAGAACAGATGAGAAACAAAATAGTTGACATGTATCAGTCTGGAAAGGGTTATAAAGCCATTTCGAAGTCTTTGGGAATCCAGAGACCCACGGTCAGAGCCATTATCCATAAATATAGAAAATTTGGAACAGTGATGAACCTTCCCAGGAGTGGCTGGCCTACCAAAATTACTCCAAGAGCGCAATGACTACTCATCCAGGAGGTCATAAAAGAACCCAGAACAACATCTAAAGAACTGAAGGCATCACTTGACTCAATTATGGTCATTGGTCAGTATTAAACAATAAGAAAGAAAGAACTGCAGGCCTCACTTGCCTCAATTATGGTCATTGTTCACTATTCAACAATAAGAAAGAGACTGGGCAAAAACGGCATCCATGGGAGAGTTCCAAGGCAAAAGCCATTGCTGACCAAAAATAACAAAGGCTCGTCTCACATTTGCCAAAAAATATCTTGATTATCCTCAAGACTTTTGGGCAAATATTCTGTGGACTGATGCGACATAAGTTGAACTTTTTGGAAGGTGTGTGTCCCGTTACATCTGGCGTAAAACCAACACAGCATTTCATAAAAAGAACATCATACCAACAGTCAAACATGGTGGTGGTAGTGTGATGGTCTGGGGCTGCTTTGCAGCTTCAGGACCTGGACAACGTGCCGTAATTGATGGAACCATGAATTCTGCTCTCTATCAGAAAATCCTGAAGGAGAATGTCCGGCCGTCAGTTTGTGAGCTCAAGCTCAAGCGCACTTGGGTTATGCAGCAGGACAATGATCCCCAAAACACCAGCAAGTCCACCTCTGAATGGCTCAAGAAAAACAAATTTAAGGTTTTGGAGTGGCCAAGTCAAAGTCCGGACTTAAATCCGATTGAGATGATGTGGCATGACCTTAAACAGTCCATTCATGCTCGAAAACCCTCCAATGTGGCTGAGACGAAGAAGAGTGGGCCAAAATTCCTCCACAGCGATGTGAACAACTCATTGCCAGTTATCGCAAACGCTTGATTGCAGTTGTTGCTGCAAAGGGTGGCACAACCAGTTATTAGATTTAGGGGGCAATTACTTTTTCAAGTAGTGCCAGGTAGGTTTGGATAGCTTTTTTCCCTTAATAAATTAAATCATTATTTCAAAACTGCATTTTGTATTTACTTGGGTTATCTTTGTGTGATATAAAAAATAGTTTTTGTTTAAAATTTGATATAAAAATCTGAATCATTCAAGTGTAACAAATATGAAAAAAATAAAAACAGTAAAAAAAAAAAATGTACATAATTATATTTTCTGTATGGGAACACATTAATATATTTTGATTTCAATTGTTGGATATACATGGCCAAGACCTGGGACAGGCCAAATTTATCATTATTAAAAGTGGTATACAGACATTTTACATATTTATCCAGATTTGGATTTATTAATAAAGATTTGTTACTTCTAAAACTAGCTACTTTTTATGCTAGGTTAATTTTACATTGCATAATAATTTAAAAACAAAAAACATGAGAAATGTGCCTCTAACACTTCAAAAATGCCATGGGGCACCAAAAACATACACTGATCCGAGAGGATCTCTAGTTGTGGTTCAAGGGTTATTGTACAGGAATCCCTTGTTACCCATGATCTCACCCTATTGGTCTGCTGAGGCTTTGCCATGACATCAATCAGCTCTTGAAGGCTTTCCGAGTGATTCCCCTCTCCATGGTAGTGTCCGCAGGTGCCCACTGGCAGTTTCAGACTCTGAGCGTTGAAAACGACATGTCCCTGAGAGTGTGTTTGGTTAGCTAGCGGTTCGATCATGTAGCTCACGCTGTTATTGACTGTTATCATGCCCCTGGGGATTGAGAAGACAACATGTCAATCACGAGGATGTTTAAACATTGAGATTAAATGACAAAGGGGACAATTAAACAGGCTGACAGGATGGAAACCACCCATCAGGGTTTTGCACGGGAAGCAGAGTATGCTTCACCACACAAAATTATCTTTATCCCGGATGGGAGGGTGAAGAAAGAAGGGAGGGAATAAAACTGAATTGATAGCCAACTTGTGTTTATGCTGAACTGGGTTATTTAAGCAAAAACAGATTTCCTTGCTTCCTGGATACCCCAGCTTTCCCCAAACACAAGCATAGTTACACACACAATCCTTCACAGATGTGCAGTGATGGCCAACTATCAATAAAAATGCTTCCACTGCAGAAATGCAAAACAATAAGAACCATAAAAAGAAGCCAAAACAAATATGATTAAGATTCATGGAAATGATAATTGTCTATAAATGTTACAACTTGCTACTTTCTGTAGGAATGAGTATTTTGCAAAGTTCCAGAATGCTCAATGACATTAACAAGATTCTCGAATGTCAACTAAAACATGCTAAGATATGTTGACACGTCCATGATACATAAACATCGACAAAAATGCTTTCATTGTTCTCATTTAGTGGAATCATACACCGCAGCTGTAAAAATCATCTGGAAGGGTGTGTGTATACACTATAAAATGCTCTAGTTTTCCCCTTCTCCAGTCAAACCTCACTCACTCAAGCTGTGCTGGCTTAAATATTCATCGATCTATTTGGATCAGTCAATGCATGTCTGTTCTTCTCCTGTTTGAGTCTCTGAAGGCATCGAAGCGCTCAACAGGACTCTATGCATCTACCCTCGGCCCACTCAGAAACCCGGAGACCCGGCCATGCTACTACAGTAAACTTGCTGAACTCACTTCCGGGCTAATAAACTAGAACTTTTGCACAACGAAAACATGTCCTCATGATATAAAGTCATAGCACTAATACTGAAGTTTTTAGAGTCTGACAGCTTAGGAAATAGAACTAAAATGGTTTGTGAAAGTCCCAATTACTAAACAGGAGACAGTTCTGCATGATAATGCAAAATAACATTATAAGATATAAATCTGACAAGCAAAAGAAAAGAAAATCGAAATAAAATAAAAATAAATGCAGTAAATATAAATAAAATATAAAATGAAGTAGAAATACATGCAGTGTGTTTTTAGGAGACTGTTTTCTTCTGAAAGGTATCATGTATAAATCAGAAAATGAAGCTATAGCTCAAAGAAGCTCATGATTTTACCCGGTTACATTTCGAATGTGTAATTTCTGAACCACTAGTGGCACTACGAGGAACTGCATAAATCATTTTAAAACTTTTTTTTTTTTAATTACTTGATTGAAATCCTGTTGTCACTATAAATAATTACTTTGAGCTATAGAACATGCAATACAATAATAATAAAATAAAAAAACATTTTTTCACACAATATGCATCATGTATAGTATGCAGATCTGCTGTGGTTCTTACCTGAGTCCAGCACAGGTGCTGATGACCAAACTTGACCCCTGGATCCCTTTGACTGACCCATGATAATAACAGTGATCCTGGAACCAAAACAACACTATATATATTATATACATTAGGTACAGTATATATATATATATATATATATATATACACACACATACATACATCTCCTATACCTAACATCAGGGGAAATAAATTGTGATCATGCGTAATGGATTTCATACTGCTTTATCTAATCTGGAATTACTGTCACAACATTAACATCACACATACGGAATCATTTTAAACACTGATAAAGGCAAAGCAAAACAAATGACTTGTTTCTGTAGTGATTTAGAGCCTATTAGCTTACTGTGACAACACAGTTTATCATAAGATTACCATGACAATATGAGCTATTCATGTGTAATTTAGAAGTGAAAGATTGTGGAACGGCTCCTGCACTCACCCTGTTGGAAGGCCTGGATAACTGACGGTCTCCATTCGGATTGTACCATATTTCCTGATATTCAGAGGAGAACAGCTCCCTTGGAGAAGAACATACAAAAAAAGACAAAATCGTTCAGTTATACATTTAATCAGCACACAGCTGGAATATAACCAGAAAACTTCCATCACGTCCATAAAGGAATAACATAAACACTTCCAACGTGACTCAGGTTATTCAAAGAGAAGAAACTGAGAGGACTTGCTGGTTTTATTTCAAAGGATTTCTACACAGAATATGGGTGACAGTGTGAGTTCTCTTTCCTTTAATGTCCTTGAGCTCATTAAAGATTCATCTAAAGTGGCTGAATGCTTTGAGAATCAGAGATACTCAGTAAATGTGCTTACAGTCTGTTTATTGTACTTATATACTCTTCTTTCTCCTCAAAGGTTGAAACAAGACCACTAAGTGCTAAACTGGCCCTAAATATTTAATTTCCCCTAACAAGACTAACAAACAATTTTCACAATGACTGGAAATAACACTCAGATCTTGTCTTATATATATACTTTGAAGACATAGTACTAATTATGATTATGATGATTTTCTTGTTCTGTACCCCCACATCTGAAATAAAAATTGACACCAGTAACAGATATGTCCATTTTAACATGATACTGGATATTATTTAGCAATATTATTAATACCCTTAAAGTCACTTTTTTAATATTGTCACAACAAAACGGCACACATTACACTATTTTATTTGGAAAAATTCATGAAATTAATGACGAGTAATTATTTTAATATGTATATATTTTTTTATTCTGTTTTATTGGTTTAACAAGGCTAAATTAAATATTTTCCTTCTCAGGAAAGTAAAACTAGTAAATGGTAAGTGTAAAAATCTAATAATAATCAACATTTATTTACAACAAAGACAGCCAGTTTACATGCCACATTGTTTGTACCACCTTGTTTTAACCTTTATTTAAAAAAAGAGAAATGATGCATTATGTAGTACAGTGGTTCCCAACCCTGGTCCTGGAGGCACCCCAACACTGCACGTTTTGCATGTCTCCTTAAACAAACACACCTGATTCAGGTCATCAGCTCATTAGTAGAGACTTCAAGACCTGAAATTGGTGTGTCAGAGAAAGGAGACATGCAAAATGTGCAGTGTTGGGGTGCCTCCAGGACCAGGGTTGGGAGCCACTGATGTAGTACACCAACAAAATAGGAACTGAAACAGACTACCACTAAAAATACATTTGATGTGACAATATGACTTGCTAATGAGTCTATCTAAACCTAGCCACACATTGTGGTCTCATTCGGTCTCTCACACTGTCAACAATTCTGAGTTTTTCTGTCAATATGGGGTGCTGTGTGTACATTAATGAGGAAAAAAAAAACTTAAATGATTTTAGCAAATGGCTGCAATATAACAGAGTGAAAAATTTAAGGGGGTCTGAATACTTTCCGTACCCACTGTACATCTCAAGCATCTGTCCCTCTTTGTTTAAATTAGTTGGCCCAACAACACTTGCTGGACACAGTCCAGACCTACTGGGCCACAACCTCCATCACCCCCACGCAGGAACACCCACCAGGCAGCACAAGTCTGCAGGACCCTGGATCTCTGCCAGGGAGAAAAAGTGTCATGGACGCGAGTGCAAAGAGGCCCTCAGAGACATACCAGTCATACACCCTTCTGATATACACTGGGTCTTTAAAATAATGCCACAAGTAGAAATACGATCACACAGGGTCCTTTAAGGTCGTATAATCATATGTCACAGCATCAACTTGCATATTAACAGTTTAATTCCCCTAATGCTAATATGAAGGCAATTCTGGATAGAAGCTATGTCAGTAGTGATTTGAACATTATCAGGTTTTTACAGTTACATACAATTCAACTAGATTTTTTTCTTAAGAAACATCAGTACAAATTTTGCTGCCATGAGTGTTTGTTAGGGTGTTTTTTTTTACACTGGTCATGCATATATGTACACAATAAACACAAATTCATATAGTTTGTACCTGAATAAATAAAAACAATAGTTCATATAAAACAATAATAGTTTTTGAAGAACTTGACCCATATGTTTTCTCAACTTCACTTTTAAATAATGGTTGCATATATATTTCTAAATGAGTAATTTTAAGTATTAGTATATTACATGTGCTTCTTGACATAAGATACATTTTTACTATGATACATATTTTTTATGTGTAAAACCATTACATTTGTTTGTCTCTCTAGTTTACCCTAATACATTGGTATGACTTGTCCTTTAAAATCTTAAAGTCAGCATGAAACGGAAGTTGCGATTGTCTTTTCTTCGCTACTGTGGACAGGGCATCATCACAATGTGGCAAGGGGCGTAACATTTCCGTCTCACGCTTGAGGTATTTGGCCAATCACAACGCACTGGATAGCTGGCCAATCACAGCAAACCTCACTTTTTCAGACCGATGAGCTTTGTAAAAATCGATGCATTTCAGAAAGGCGGGGCATAGAGGAGAAACAATAATGTACAGTATGTGGAAAGTAATGTGTTTTTTGAACCTTAAACCGCATAAACACATTTCATTACACCAAATACACAAAATACTGTTCTTTTTAGCAGCATCATATGACTCCTTTAAGTCATATTCGTGAAAAAAATTAGTTTGCGATGTCCTAAGAGTAATGTTGTCGTAATATCCTAATATCTTTTCAATGTTTAGGGGTAACGTACTCCCTCATGACTGGTGTCAGTGCTATAAATTGAAGCTTCAGCTACAGCTTTTCCCCCTGACGTTTATCCTAGCGTTTACCCCTCACGTCACTAGCTCCGCCCCTTGCGCCATAGCTCGTGACCGAAAGAGAAGATAAGTCATTTTGAGGGGGAGGGGAGGTTAACATTTTTGATTAAAGATTACGAGGGCAAAATTTATTTAAAAAAAATTATGAAGTGCACGGATAAATTATTAATAATAAACACTACATTATTCCATTAAAAAATAAGAATTTTCCATTTTGATTTCATGGTGACTTTAAGAATATGACCTCAATCACATGACTTTCTAGAAATGACAAGTATTAGTATTAGCCATAAATATTCCTCTCTTTTCTTCATTTTAAATCATTGTAAATAACATGGCCACACTGACTGTTGTATCAATATATACAGAACATTAAAATATTTGTTACTTTTTTTAAAATACATTTTTATATATCTTTTGAAATTATTCCTGAATGTTAATCTTCTGCTACCATATTTTCCCTTCCTAGCATTAGCTTTCATTAGTTTAAAATAATATTTGGTCAGTTAACAGAATATTTGGTCAGTATTATGATGTTATCCTAGTCTTAGCTTGACCAGTGTGTTTTTCTGATAGACATTTTTTCCCTCGGTTAAGTCTAAAAAAAAAAGACATTGATTTATCAACTAGGATTACCGTTGTGTTCACTTTGTGTGGTTTTTGAAGCCTCAACTTCCTGTACACTTGCATTATATGAACTCACAGAGATGGATTATTTTTCTACAAATCTTTGTTTGTGTTTATCTGAAGAAAGAAAGCCATATACATCTGGGACAGGTAAGTAAATGATAAGAGAATTTTCATTTTTGGCCAGAGTATGAGAGGAAACAGACCCAATTTTAATACTAACATACTAAATGATTAACATAATATATGCAAACATATGCATAATACATGCAAGCATGAGCTCCTTAGGCTTGAGAGCAAAGCTGACAGATATTCCACCAATTCAACAATAAGAATCAAGACACTTATGCATGAAATGTTTCACCCTGTAATCAAATGCATTAGCACTGACATCTAATTAAGCATAGGAACTTAAGAGGGTGACATTTAATCAACAGTCTTCATTTTGCTTAAGTGTGCACTGACCACCTTTTTAACAGACAACAACATCTACTGGAGGCCCAAGTCAGTTTTTGATGGACAAATAAAGGTGTATAATTTGCTATGTCAGAATTTTTCATTTGACAGCGAACACCAACAAGGTCATTCTGCTTCCAAATACAATCAAAGAGTGTGGAAAAGCACTCAAGACAAAATATGGGGTAGTAGGCCAAAAGGGTTCTTGAGTGTATCTAATACCCTCTCAAACAATGCATGCCTGTTGATCCAACCCTCTGCTGAGCAGTAAGAGGGAACTAAAACAAGGCTTGCACTTAATCTGCCACACTGCCACCCAGTGACCCAAAATGTGATGCTATATTGAGCCCAGCCATAAACAGCCCCTGGGCCAACAAGAAGACTCATAAATTAACAATAAACTGACTCTGGCTGAGCATGACGCTATAGTCCCTTAAGCTCTGGAAAAACAGAGTGAGTGAGAAAGCGACAGGAGGAATTTTACTGACAGAAAAAAGAATGTTGCGCCTACCAGGTGGGCGATTAACAGAAATTTTAAGTGGCGCCCTGGCAGTTGTTTTAGCTACGCGATAACAAACACTTACAATAGACACCTATAAAACAACCGCTGGCAAAATTAGACCCTGTAGAGAGTTTGAGTGTGGTCCAAACTAACTAGACTAACTGTACAAGGAGCCCTCGAAAAACTGTTTTCTTAACTCGCTGATGGTCGTGACCACCCATTAATATTTGGACATTAAATTTTATTTCCCATCTGTATTACAATTTTTTTTGTCTCTATTACAAAGGGCTTTATTTAGCATACTGTCTTTTTGTTGTGAAATCTTTATTTTTATAAAGTAAATATAAGAATATATTTTATATTGTTAGTAATATTTAAAGATGAACACTAAGTGGACTCAAACCAACTTAGGGTTACTTGATTATCCATATTGTTTTCATATTCCATCAATTTTTGAAAAAAAAAAAAAAACAGGTCACAAAAAGTGAGTATCAAAAATGATACATCAGGCTTTTAAGCAACGTTAATTTAACATCTCTCAAACAATATTATATTGCATTGCATTATGTTTTGCCCACACAATAAACACTACACAGCATTGATCATAAAACTAAGCATTTAAATATTATCTTAAGACATATTACTGAGTGAGAGTGACAACTGATATTTATATGCATTTTATGTAAGTGGTCTGCTGTTAT